AAACACATTCGGAATAGCCCATTCTATAATGATCAATTTGGGACTTACACCAATTACATGAACACCGTGAGATTTGATTCTAAGATGAAAGAGGTTTAGCCAACATACCTCAATTGAGATCCCTTACACTCTAAAATGTTCCGGGAATCTTAGCAACATCAGTCTATTTTATAAATATAACAAATTGAATTAAAATTAGGAAAATGATAATGGTTCTAGCTCATTTGAGCATTTATCAACCACCAAGTGTGCACTAAGGTTTTAAGGCTCTTTTATGAAAGACTTCACCATCCCACACCCCATTCTTTATCATTTTAGCTCACCATCCTCCATATACTCGCTTGTCACACATGCATGCAAAATAAACAACTCCCCTACCCAAGAATTGTCTTGCGAATTACCCATTTTTTGTTAATTTACGAAATTAAGGGCTAGGGTATAGATTCTTACCTCTTGGATGGAGACATAGTGAATTTCTCCTAGTTAATCTTCAATGATTTGAGCAAGAATTTATGTATAATTGATTGAAGATCACTACCCCATTCTAAGCACTCTCTCTCACTATAAAAGTATCAGGTTTTCCAAGAAAAACGATCCACAATGTTTATATAACGAGATTGGGTCGGGTTATAATAATTAGAAAAATAGGAGCCTGACACAGATCTGTGGTCGCATATGCGACCGCATAATGCTTCTGCGGTCCATAGAGTGGGCCGCATAATTAGCCATTCAGAGCTTACATTTTCTTCTTCAGTTTGCGACCAGTCTACGGTCCGCAAACCTGTTCTGTGGTCATATAATGCGGTGCAGAACCACCATCAGAAAAATCTCAAGGTTGGATATGCGATCAGAGTGCGGCCCAAAAAAAATGACCTCACTCTGCGACTATTTTGCGGTCCGCAAATTGATTATGCGGCCGCATAATAAACTGCAGAAACGCCCAATTCTGCAAAACATTTTCCTTTAACTCTTTAGCGTACTGTTCAACCCAATATATCGCGTCCTCTATGTTGCGGGGCCTTACAGTTTTTAGGTAAAGGTTTGCGGGGCCTTGTAGTTTTAGCCCTGATCCCCTATTTATCGTGCCCTCTATGTTGCATTGTGGCTATGTCACTTGCTGGGGTATTTGGTTTTGGTTTTGGTAAGTTTCGGAGTGAAATGAGACATATAGTCCCTAAGTTGGAGGCTTAAGTTAAAAGAGTTGGTCGTAGTTTGACTTTTATATAGACAACTCTGGAATGGAGTTATGACGGTTCCAACAGCTCCGTATGGTAATTTGGACTTAGGAGTGTGTGCGGATGTTGATTTGGAGGTCTGTAGGTCGTTTCGTCTTAATTTGGCAAAAGTTCGAAAGTTGAAGATTTGTAAGGTTGAAAGGTTTGACCGAGAGTTGACTTCATTGTTATCGGGGTTGGATTCCAATTTCGGAAGTTGGAATAGGTTTGTCATGTCATTTATGACCTGTGTGCAAATTTGAGGTCAATCAGAGTTATTTTGGTGTGATTCGGTGTTAGTTTTGGAAGTCGGATGCTCATAGTTTCAATAGGCGTGAATTGGGGTGCGATTCGTAGAATCGATGTTGTTTGATATAATTTTTGCCTCGATTGGGTCCATTATGTGTTTTGGAACTTGTTAGTATATTCGGATGGGGTCCCGGGGGCCCCGGGTGTGATTCAAATTGAATCTGAAACAATTTAGGACCTGATGGATTTCTAAACCTACTGTTGTTCTGGTGTCATCGCACTTGCGAAGGGTTTGGCCGTAGGTGCGGACATGCAGGTGCATGAGGTTGATTGCAGAAGTGGCCATTAGTGAGCTTGGCTGGGATCGAAGGTGCGAGGTGATTTCCGTATCTGCAAGTCCGCATGTGCAGAGGAGCTGGTCGTAGATGCGGACTGGGCCAACTTGGTCTATTATCGCAAAAGCGGACATCGTCGCAGGAGCGCGTGCGCAGAAGTGCCCCTATATCCACAAGAGCAAAAGTGCATATGCGCGTTTTGTCCGCAGAAGTGGAGAGTACTGGACCTTAGTGAGGACTACATCTGCGATGGAAATTCCGCAGATGCGGCTGTGGGTTCGTAGATGCGAAATCGCTGGGCAGAAAAGGTCTTAGGTCGAGGGTTTCATCTCATTTTCATTTTTGGACCTAAAGAGCTCGGTTTTGTGGCGATATTTTGAGGGATTTTCAAGGAAATCATTGTGGTAAGAGATTCTAACTCAGTTTTGGCTATATTACATGAATCCCTTGTTATTTTCATCATTTAATTAGTGATTTGAGTTGGAATTTAGGGGAAAATTGTGAAAACTTCTTAAATTAAATTTGGGGGATTTGAAAGGCGGTTTGAGGTAGGATTGGAGAAATTCTTGTATGGTTGGACTTGTTATTGAGGGTGTTCGGATTTTGTAGTTCTGGTCGAGTTTCGAGACGTGAGACCGGGGTTAACTTTTTATTTCTCTTTAAAGATTATAATTTTATTGTTCGGATTAGCTTCCTATAGCTTATATTTATGGTATGAAGTTATTTTGGCTAGATTCGAGTCGTTCATAGTTGGATAATCTAGGGAAAGGCTTACTAGTAGATTGAGTTAGTGTGTTTTGAGTTAAGTGTCTTGCCAAACTTTGTGGGGGGAATTACCCCTTAGGATTGGTGTTGTTTTGTGTTAATTGTGAAATGTGAAAGTCGTGTACACAAGGTGATGAGTGTGTACACGGACTAAATGTGACAATTTACTGGTTCTAACAATGTAGATTCCTTTAATGCCTTTATTTGAGTTACCATAATATGTTATATTCAACATCTTTAGTCTATCTTCACATGCTTTACTTGTCTTATCTCTTACTTGTTAATTGTGTTTATATGTTTAGTTGAAGTTATTGTTTCCTCTATTCCTTATTCATTATTTAACTGTTGAGTTCCTCACTTGAAATTGTTATTCTTGGAATATCATGTTGTTGAAATTGGTATTGAGTTATTAAGGTCGTGATTTACATTGAGGCAAAGTTGTAAAGTTGTGAAATACTATTCTTGTCGAATTATTCACTTCTGGTTGTTATTGTTGATACTCGTGTGCATATTGTGGTTGAGCCATGGGCTATTTATTGTGGAAACACCATTATTGTTGACTTCTTTGGCAAGTTATGATATTGTGCACTTGATGTGCGATTTGTGATACATTGTGATACTGATACGCATGTAGTGGTATAAGGATTAGGGTTGAAACACATGCAGTAAGATAAGGTGGGCTTGATACGCGTGTTGCTAGTAAGGGAGCCTACTAGAAAATCTTGACAAAGCTTGGTATTAGAGCCTAGGTTCAAGAGTCCTATAGAGTCTATGAAGTCGTGTCCAGTGGGGTCACTTTTATGTGTGTGTGCGCTATACGTGTAAACAGTGACACCAAGACATCTAGGATTGTTTCATTTCTTTCATACTCTAGATCGTACAGTTAGAGCTATGCTTTCAGGTATCCTTCTACAAGAACGACGTCCCGCGAGAGCGTATCAAGGCTATTTCGACAAGAACGGCTTGGGGTATGACCACACTTTGAAAATTTTGCCATATTATTATTTTTAGGTTATTTTTGAAAAAATGAGGCCATACCCGATGAAGGTTGCCTACGTACCTCACCACCGGTGAGAATCAAACCTTCGTAGTTTGGTAGATTTTTCAAAACTGGGGAAAATGACATGTTTGAAAATTTGGCTCATTTTGTAATAACTAATAACCTCATAAAAAATCGACAGGGTTTCAATATTCTCTTCGTTTTTTTTTTCAAATACCGGAATTTTCAAGAACCGAGTACATTTTCTCTCTCGTGGTTTTCTTGATTTTCTTTCCCTATTTTAGAAATCAGTCAATATGCAAACCAGATCAAATAAATGCACAAGTGGCATGTAAGAATGCATCGAGTTGGTCTTTTATTCTTGGGTACACTGTCCTAGACGGACCCAACCTTGTGTTTAGTCCCCTAAGTCAAATGCACGTGATGCAAACATATGTACCTACTAGGGATCCGGCATGAAGTAATGTTCATCTAGGGTAAAACCTTAAAATGTGTGGAGTTCTAGGCCTGACTTACCCAAGCGGACAACTCGAGTCGGGGGGAGGGGGGATGGGGGAGCGCACCGGAAATACAGAAGCTTCACCAGCTTTACAATGGGTTCGATCGTCGTTCTAAAATTAGGGTGTGACACTTCTAACAGAAAAGAGCCACGCGTACGTGCGCTCCCAGAAGATATAGAAGACTCGGAGAGAAGAAGGGTGGCGTATCAGGTTTTATACAATTCAAATATTTATTAAAGCGGTAAAGAGCGGTCTTTAGTATAATAGGATCAAATATGTAAAATCGGACAATAAACAACAAAGTCAAGTATAAAAGTCATCTAAGCTCGAATTCTAATCCCTGAACCAAAAGTTCTGGGTTCGTTTCCTCAGAGTCGTGAAACTATGAGTTCAATTACCATCGTTGCTTATAAAACTATTATGTTATTTAGTCAATTACTTTATATCATAAGCTGGTAGCCCATAAATTAATTGAAAGGTTATTTGGTTATGAATTTTAACTAGGAACTAGTTTATGTGAAGTTGTCCAGGTTTAACTTGATGGCCTTAAGGCCGATAAGAGTCTGGGGATGGATAGTAGGCGTTTGAACATAATAATTGTAAAATTGCAAAAAAATGGTGAAAAACTTTTTCAAGTGAAAATGGTATTTAAAATTTAGAGTTGTGTTTGGACATAAATTGCAGTTTGGGTTATTTTTTATGTTTTGTGAGCAATTTGAATGAAATTTTTGAAAAATAATTTTTGAAGTTTTTCAAATTTTCAAAAAAATTCATTGAAAATTTTATGAACAAATGCTGATTTCGAAAAAAAGTGAATTTTGTTTTTGGAAAAAAAGAAAGAATTTTTTTTTATGTCCAAACGGGCTCTTAAATTATCAATCAACACATTCATTTTTCAGTAGTCAAATAAGACGATTTGATAGGGAACAAGAAACACTACAAGGAATTACACGATCTAACGAACATAGCAAATGACGAAAATTACATTCTTAGTTCAGGCCTGTTCAAATGGGCTAACTTCAAGGCCCAATATCCTCCGAAGATCAGACTTACCTAATTAACCCCTTATTGGGCCATTAATGCAAGTATGACCCATTGTGTATTAGGTTAAACTAAATTAGCCAATAATCGTACTAGATTCCAAACCATAACTCTATAATCCTTTAATTTTAAAATACAATACATGAACTACATGAAATTGTTTATCATAGCTGAATTACATATGGATAGTTCACATGGAGCATTTCTGTCCACTGGCCACTCGTTTCTTCAGGCTTGCTCATGGTTTTGCAACAAATAGCCAGGGGGCTATTATTGCCAACCACCTGACATATCAGATTAACCCATTATAAGTCACAAACAACCTCCATATTATAAGTTGATTACATAATTTCACACATAGATTATGCATGTTAACAAATTCTGAATCATATTGAACACTCAATGTTTTTCATGACGTATATTAAAATCATACCGAAATAGTTAGACTCGTGCACTAAAGGATTAATTAAATTTCATATTGGAATTAAACACATCATTACAATCAAACAAAGCATTCAAAATTCTATGAACATTATGTATATAGCACAGATTAAAGGAATACCTAATGTGATGAATTACAGCTGAGAAAAACCAAATAAAGGTAAGGAGATCAGGTAGTTGAAGCTCTGCAACACAGATCCAGCAATAAACAGCATAATTGGACAGTGATTTGAGTCTGAATTGTTTTCTAAAACCAGAAAGTATAGAACAAACAACAGCAGTGGAAACAACTTGAGAAATCTCTTTTGAAAGCTAATTATCTTCTGTTTTTAGCCCTTTTTTGGCTTTTCATATCTGGTTTTTGAGCCCTTTTTTGAACTTTTGAAAGTTGTTTCAGCTAGGTGAATGTGTGTGAGTGAATCTCCAGATTGTGAATGAGTATGAATGCCTATAGTGCGAGGATGGTCATCTATTTAAGCTGATTTTCAAAGCTGCTCTTCAAAAAATTTCTATTCTTTTTAATCCTTTTTTCTTTTCTGTTTTTACTCTTCAAGTCCCTCCTCAGCAGACCCCTGCTGGTTTTTCTTTCCTAGAAGCTTCCTAGTGGTTAGTTATAAAGATTCTCTAAGTCTAATCCCCTTAATACCTTTTTTACCTCCGTTACTTTCTACTCTCAAAACTACAGACCTTCTTTCACTTCTCTTTTTACCTTTCAACTCTATAGAAATCATGTGAGCCTGAACCTGGCTTCATTCTTAAAACAAACTACACTCCTAAGTCCAAAGTAGGCTAATCAAATCCTAGAAAGCTCGTGACTCACTAATTGATCCTCAAGAATAATATTGTTATACAAACACTAAAACAAAAGAAATTGTCGATTTAACAAGGAATTAAAGCAATTAAATATTATTTCAGTGATACCTAATCATGTGACTACTTAAACAACAATCGAAAATTCAATAGCTAACAGTTAATCACACTCAAAACAGATATGAATCAAATGATCAATTATTTGCTCCTGCTAAATTAAGCAGAGATGACTGGAGACAAACAAGTAGAAAGAAGAAAGGGAATGAGGGAAAAACATAGAAGAAGTAAAAGAAAAAGGAACAGAATATACATGCTGGAACTCAAAATGGATCGATAAAAGAATTCCAGCAACATGGAGGAATTGTTACACAAGCACTAACCATAGTTGCTTTACACCGGCCAGTGCTACATGCAATAATATCCCTTGCTAAGCCTGAGAAAATGACACCATGGCGATATGGGTGGGAACTGGCCGGTCAACCAGAGTTTGACTAGATTCCGATGGTCATGAAACAAGATAAACTTACCATCAATCGATAGCTCTCATTGAGAGTAGTCTATTGATGTTGGTATTAACCCCAAATAGTCCGAGATGTGAGGAAAAATGGAAAAGGGGATGAATTCAGGTTTGTGATTTCTTACATCTACTAAACGAATTGTTTGAGACGGATTTGAGGGAAACTGGTGGTGGATTTGGACCGAGGAGGGGCTGGGGATTGTACGGTTTGGGGTGGTTTGGAGGTGGCCCGCCACCGCAGGCGATTTTTGGAGGGCAGTACGCAGCGGGGAAGGGTGGAGAGGAAANTATGAGAGAGAGGACTTGGGTAGGGGTAAGGGCTGTTCCGACACTTTCAAGAGAACGAATGGCCAGTTATCTCCCGTTGGATCAAACAACAACGGACGACCGAGATTAAGCTTGATCCTTGTGTCGTTTGGCATATGGGGGATATTTGGACCGGATGAATGTGTGGGCTTGGACGGGCATGAACCGAATTAAGGTAACTGGGCCGTCCGATTTGCTTGGCCCAGTTCGAATGGGGGATTTGCAGTCGTACCCTATATTTGTGCCACCTTTTAACTTGTAACCCTATTTTTTAAAATTATTGATTTGGTAGCCATCTCACAAAAAATCTGTAATAATATGACAATTATACCCCTGACAAAAGATATAAAACGATCTTCTCCTCTCCTCTCAGCAACTTTATAAAAAAATTAAAAACTTGTCTAGATTCATCTTCAGAATCACACTTGCATGAAGTTGTTTCACCTTGAAGCTAAAACTTCATGCTAATATAGCATGAAGTTGTTTCATGTTGAAGCTAAAACTTCATGCTAATATAGCATGAAGTTGTTTCACATTGAAGCTAAAACTTCATGCTAATGCATGCTGAAGTTATTTATTCTGCAGTCTATAGTTTTGCCATTAATTTTATCTGAAACTTCACTCTAAACATGTTGAAGTTATTTAGTTCATTTGCTAAAATTTCAGACTAAACATGCTTAAGTTTCTGTCTTGCAGTATGTAATTTTCTAAAGAGTTTTTGCTAATGCATGCTGAAATTATTTAGTTTTATTTGTTAAAACTTCATACCAAAACATGCTGAAGTTTTGTAACTCAGTCTACAGTTTTGTCTTGAGTTTTATCTGAAATTTCAGTCTAAACAAGCTGAAGTTTTTTAGTTTATTTTCTAAAACATCAGCCTAAACATGCTTACGTTTTTTTCCTGCAATTTGTCAATAGTCTTTTATTAAAGAAGGGCAAAATCGTCTTTTTAAAATACTTTTAACAAAAAATAGGTATGGATGCAAACGGAAAAACAAAACGGGTATAAGTTAAAAAGGGGCGACCAAATATGGCGCCCCATGCAATTTTTACGTTCGAATGTGAAGCTTCTCTTATCAGATTTTTCAAAACCAGCTATTTGAAATTCTAATTTAGACCTAATTTTGCATAACTAATCTAGTTATCTATTTTATCTAATGATTGGCTAATTAACTAATTTAATTGAACCTAAAATTCAAAAACAAAAGCGAAGATGACTAACGTTTATTTGTGATTTTATGTATTTTAATCATGCGTTTAATAATGTAATTAAATCCTAAAAAATGCAATTAAAATCTAAAAATGCAATGAATAAAATGACATTTTTTGACAATATTATGATTTAACACTATTTCGAATTAAGCAAATACAACCAAATTCCATGAAATGCAAACAAAGATATATAAAATCAAACAAAATAATTTAAAAGCTATGTATTTGGCATTTTAGGAGTAGTTTTGTGCAGGGGCAAAAATTACGTGCTCATAATAGATGTTCTTTTTCTTCTAAAATCCTTGAGTTTGACTTTAAATCTGACTCTAGATCCGGCCGATCCAATTGGATCTGCAAGGAAGGAGAGAGACATCACCGGAGAAAAGATTCGACCAGATTCGATGCTAGTTCTGATATTTTATTCTTTTTTTGTGTGTGTGTTGGAGATTTTGGTGTTGAAATGAAGGCAATGCTGGATATAAGGTATTTTTTAGTGTTAGTGTTCATAACTTGTGTTATACACACTTATACAAGGTTGAAGTGAGCTTAGCGTCTAAATGTTACCTGGTATGTTTCTAATGGAAGCAAAACCTGCACAAACAAATTCGAGGGTAGGAGTTGTTATTTTCATAAAATAATTCAAAGAATAACAACTTAGTATGAGTTAGATAAATTATAATAATGAAATGATATAGAATGAAAAAAGTGAACTTAGCCATATTTGAGAGCTGTAAGTAGAATGATGGCATGGGCATATTCTAATAGTATTTTTTTGTTGGAGGGATACACATGAAGAGCAGATGAATTAGATATCATGGATTTACATCCCCATCAAGCACATGAAGAGACGATCATCCTCCAAGGAATTTTGTAGTTGGCAATAATTGGATACTTAGGATCTTGCATATGCAGCTTGATACTTTTCTAATGTTCAACTTAAGAGCAGTCACACTCTCTGCACAGAAAGCTACATTATCAAACATGTTTTTCATATATACTTTTGGACACTTCAATGACAATAAAAGTACAGTGTGGTTACAGATCTTATCTCCCCCAAACAAAACCAAGATCACATTATTAATACAGCTATTATTGAATTTCAAATTATAACTCATAGTAGTTCCATACTGAGTTGAAAAATAGATATCTGTATTTGAAATCTTATAGGTGTCACAAAATTTCAAACTATGATTCATGAGAATTACTGGACAATTAAAGGAACCATAAATCTGTAATCAAAAGCTGAGTGGACGCGACAATACAACCAAAATATTAACAAAATAAGAGGGAAAATATTCAAAGTTTTGAGTGAGAATCAAAGTTGAGTAAAGAAAAGAAAAGGACAAGGTGAATAAACATGTGATTTCATAATCAATGTTTTACAGTTTTATGCACGTTCCTAAGTAAAGAAAGATAGGAAATTCAACCTGAGAATCCAATACAACAATAGCGGAGCAAACATCTGAGAATTCAGTATGATATCGAATTCCAGTCTCCCTCTTTCAACCCAAGTTATCAGAAATAAAATTCTGAAGCACAATAAAAAGAATGCATAGGGGGATAGTAAGAAGAGAAGATTCCAAGTTTTACTGTGCGATAATACTTCGGGGCATTAATTGTAACACCGTAATTATGGGAGAGAACTTATCTTTTGTGCTAATTCAGCAACATCATCATAAATTACATTTTACCATAAATTGTAAAGTGAATTACAGTTAACTCTTTGAATTGAATTATAAAAGAAATTAGGCACAGTAACAGAAAGCTGATAAACCAACTGAGACCACGAGCAGGAAAATAAAATTAGTATATCATGTTGGAATCTCTATTTGAATGATTCCATGATAACCCAAGCGATTATCTTACCGCCCTCTCTGCTTTGCTAGGTTTTGAAGATACCAAAAAATGCAAAACTCGATTTTACAATCAAATACATAGATACAACAACAAAATATGCAGAACAAATCAAATCAAGCATTAACACATAAAATAAAAGGGGAAAAGGAAAAATAGAACAAAGAGGACGAAAATAACAATCACAAAAGAAATAATTTCAAAATAGAATCGAAGAGGAAGACGCAGAAGAAGATCGCGATGGTACTTTTGGGACTCTCTGATCGGATTGAAGAAAAAAAACATGGAAGACAAAGGGCTTATTGAAGGAAAGCAGATGAAAGAACTCTATAGAACGATAAAAATAGGAGTAAAAGCCATGTAATATAAACACGTAAGTGGTAATTAGAAAATCCGGAGCAAACCACCGTACACCCCTAATATATACTAGTTTCTCCTTACACATGTATGTATTATATAATTTTATAAAATAATATCAAAATTATTAAGATAAAGCTTTAAGTAAACGATTAGACATGAAAGAATAAAGTACAAGGTTATATAAATAATCAATATGAATCATGTTATGTTGACTTGTTTGTCGAGGTCTGTTACTCCTAAACACACATGCAAGTATACGTAGTCGACAAGTAATATATTGTCACGATCTGAAATTACCACCTTCGAACCGTGATGGCGCCTAACATTTCACTTGCTAGGCAAGCCAACGTTAGAATAATATTATCCATTTTTAAACCAATTTTTAAACAATCTTTAATTTATTAATAATCAAATAAACAAATGCGGAAGCAAAGTTTAAAATATAGTGAATAATCCATAAAAATAATGGTGTCTAAATACCATCCCAGAATTGATGTCACAAGTGCACGAGCTTCTAGAATTATACAAATAAAGGTCTGAAATAAAATAAAGTTGTCTGAAAATAAACACACAGCTAGAGTAAAATAGATGGGGACTTCAGAACTATGAACGTTGTGCAGCTATACCTCAAGTCTCCTCTGAGTAGCTGAAATCCGAGTAAGTCTATGGTACGCCGTCGGGACCAACTCCAAAATCTGCACAAGAAGTGCAAAGTGTAGTATCAGTACAACCGACCCCATGTGCTGGTAAGTGCTGAGCCCAACCTCGACGAAGTAGTGACGAGGCTAAGGTGGGTCACTTACATTACCTGTACGCAATATTAGTAACAAAAATAATAATAGAAATAAATCAGGTAATTCATTTATAATAATTGAAGCCAACTCAGCAGTCATAACCAGTTGTCATTTCCATCAATTCTGTTGCAGCGTGCAACCCGCTCTCACAATATATTCATTTTTAATCAAGTCTGTTGCGGCGTGCAACTCGATCCCCCAATATATATATGTATGTTGCCTTTTAAATAAGTTTGTTGCGGCGTGCAACCCGATCCTCCAATATGGACTTTTAATAAGTCTGTTGCGACGTGCAACCCGATCCTCCAATATAGACTTTTAATAAGTCTGTTGCGACGTGCAACCCCGATCCTCTAATATAGACTTTTAATAAGTCTGTTGCGGCGTGCAACCTGATCCTCCAATATAGACTTTTAATAAGTCTGTTGCGGCGTGCAACCTGATCCTCCAATATAGACTTTTAATAAGTCTGTTGCGGTGTGCAACCGGATCCTCCAATATATTCATTATAATCAATTTTGTTGCGGCGTGCAACCCGCTCCTCTAACATATTCATTTACCAATTCTTATAGAAAGAATTTCCCCAATAAATGTATCAATTAATATAAAATTATAAGATAACAAGCGTACAATAATTATGGTTTAATTATGAAACAAACAAAGACAAATAGCAAATTATTATGGAAATCTGAAAGAAAATATACAATTTAATAATTAATATGCTAAATGTCAAATAACAATTAAGGCACATAATTCAAATAGCATGTAACAATTAATG